TACAGAGTTTGGCAGCATATAAATTTAATAAAGTGTTAAAATACTAAAAACAAAAACAATTTCACTAAAAAAAATTTCTTTGGTGAGTTTGTATTCCAAAATTATTTGTCAAAGTCACCATGGTTGAATGCACAAAGACAGTAACTACTAAAAATATATGCCTGATAGACTTAGAATTTCAATATTCTAAAAAATAGAATTGAGGGCTGGGGATTTAGCTCAGCGGCTTGGTGGCCTGCCTTGCAAGCGCAAAGATCTGAGTTCAATCCCTGGTACCAAAAAAATAAAATAAAATAAAATAAAAATAAAAATAAAAAATAGAATTGAGAGTTTTCTCCATTTGGCAAAATGTACTTTGAGCTTACCAAATCCTTCAGCACTTCCAGAGAATATTTCCTCAATTATGAAATACAATACCATATCGAGACCTTCCCATTGAATATAAAATTTTCAACTTTATTAACAAAAACGATTATAAAAAATTAAAATAATGAGCTATTCCAAACATTTTTTTAATGCCAGGCATGGGATATTGCATAAAGATAATTTTAAGAATATAAGGAACACACATATGTACCAAGAATAATTATTTGGCTTTTTTGTTCCAATAATCAGTATTAAAAACTTGTTTTGCTTTAATGTGCATACATATTTTGTATTTTATATAAATGAGTGAATAGATCTTCAGATGCAGGGGTGGGATAAAATTAATCTAGTGGCCAGGAGTTCTGTCTCTCCTTCTCCCTTCCTCTCCTCCTCCTGCCTTCTCTCAAGGTTCACAGATTGTTTCTAGTCCACTTCCCACTGTCAGAAGTGGCCTGGTCCAGGCAGGCAGTCTCGCAGTCATCCTACCTGCTGGTTCAGTGGAGAAGGCTTTGGCTTTTCCTTTCTTCCCTCTACTCCTTGTGGAGAGAAGGAGGCTATGGGGTGTCCCTGTGACAAAGGGGCTGGTGGGAAAAGAGACCCCACAGCACCCCCAGGTGGATGGATGCGGGCACAGCTGTATGCATCCTGTGCTCTTGTGACCCAAAGAAGAGGGACACTGAAAACACATGGCAGGCGCAGCCCTGGGGAGACCCGCGTTCCTTCCATTGGCCAAGCACACATTGGAAACCACAGGGTAAGGACCACACTTGTCTTAATTACTTTTCTCATTACTGAGACAAAATACCCTACACCCAAAGTTCAAGGAAGAAAGGTTCCTTTCAACTCACAGTTTGTAGTGGTCTCAGTCCATAGTCGGCTGGCTCCAAGGCAGGGTGGAATGGCAGAGGCGCATCACAGAGGAGAAACAACTCATGGCATAGCAAGACAAGCAGAAGACAGTCAAGTAGGGGCACCAAGCAGAAGCAAGCAGCAGCAAACCCGTCTTTGTATTCTATCCAGGCTTCCCGCCCTGTGGGCAGTGCCATCCACATCCAGGATGGGGGAACCCTGAATTTCAGCATATCAGCCTCAGCATACCACTTGCCTCTGAAAAAAAACCCGCCTGTGACCACATTAGGCTTTGGGGGGACATCTAGACATAAGCCATAACAATGCCACCATATAAGTAATGAAGGCCCCTAAGTAAAAGGGGTCAAAATCAGCTCTTTCAAAGCTCCAGAAGCCAGGCGTGGTGGCGTATGCCTGTAATCTCAGCACTTGGGAGGCTGAGGCAGAAGAATCACCATGAGTCCCAGGCCAGCCTGGGCTACACAGTGAGATGATCCTGTCTCAAACAAAACAAAACAATAATGACAACAACAAAACTCTATAAATTGAAAGAGGAAAAAAAAGTAAACATAGAATGTAGCTATGAAAGAACACTTGCTCTAGACAAATACCCAAGCCTTGGCAAACTGACGTCTGAACCCGCCCTGGTCCAACCTCTGTCCTCAGTTGCTCATCAGCAGTTTTGAAAATGAGCTATCTGGTAAACACCCGGGCTGTGAAGGCTACCACTGACTCCCACCCCTGGGAGAAGCAGGAGGGGTCTGAGGCTCCCCAAAAGCTCATACCCAGAGCTCTGTCCCTCCTACCCATCGGGCAGTGCTGGGAGCAGCTGCCCACCCTGGGCTTGGCCCTGTGTGTGAGCAGCCCTGTTCGGCATTTGCCAAAAACAAGAGTAGCAACTGTCACACCACAGCTACCTAGTGTAGCAACACCTCAGCGCTGACCAAAACTTTCTGAGTTTTAGTCTTTAAAGAGAAACCAGGGGGTGAGACATTTGTAGAGGGCTTTGCAAAGTCCCGACATATTCCTGAGGGTTCATGTGGCCAGGAATAAGTGCAGAGCACAGAAAACATGTGCGAGAGTCCCTGAGGGGCTACCCATTCAGGAAGCAGAGGCTAAGGTAGAGCTGAAAACCTCTCACCGTATATCGGAGGTGGACACATGCTCAGAACCCTCAGGAAAGCCCGGAGACGCCGAGTCCAGACATTTAAGGATGCATCCATCCAGTCATCTCTTCACACCAAGCTCAGTAAACTCCAAATCCGAGATCTGCGCCCAGGCCTGTCACAATCAAACCCCCGAAAGATGAGAGGAGGGACCACAGCGGGAGGGAAGCTGAGTCTGCACACCCCAGGCCTGAGGTGTGACCCCCACTCTGAGAGCCCCACGAGTCTGGGAGCTCCAGGCAGAGAGACCCCGAAGGTCATTGCCATCATGACAGCAGTCGCAAACACCTGAGAGGTGGGACCCCTGCACAGTGATCTCTGATCTACAAGTGTTCCGCAGAATTTCATCTAAGAGGCTTTTGATTTCTGCCAGCCTTGGACAACTCCTCCTTCAGTGGGGGCACAGTTTCCTTTGCCGTATTTTCTTCCATATGAGAGAGAGATGTGTTTCCTGGGGTCTTTCTTCTGCTTTCTGCTGCTGGCTTCAGAAGCCCGGTGATGTTTTCAGACTCTGCTGATTTTGTTATGAACCCCTGTTGGGTTCTACTGTCCAATCCATAGTCTTATTTGATTCCCACCCTACATCCTTCCAGTTTGGCCTTATGGGAGTCTCCCATAGCAAAGGGTATAAAAGCAGTGTGTTTGGGTTCTGGCAAAGCATCTGTGATTCAAAGCAAATTCTGAACAATGGATGATGGTATGATTCCAACCAGGAAACATCTGCTCACCACTCCTTCGTTTAACCCAGGTTTGATTCAACCTGTTATTATCCCGCCCGCCCTCTCCCTGGAGCTCCCACTCTCTTTTCTTCCCATGGAGACCTGGCTGCATAAAATACCCATGTGTATTTTCCAGAGGCAAATATAAAATCTGGTTTCTTGCCTAAAATACTGTATCACCTTCACCTCGTCTAATAGTGCTTAACGTACCCTTTCCTGGCCTTCTCATTTTTGCATTTCTGACATCACATAATCCTTCATCTTTAGAGACGTCCTCCAGTACTTATTACTAAATCTTTATTAGTAACTAAGGAGTTTCGGACCCCAGTTACCTTACAATATGTCTCCTAGTCTTAGCTTTTAAAGCAATTTTAGAACTACCTAGTCAAAACTCCATTATTAAAATGTCTTAAGGTTGACATCTCATCTTCCCTTTGATATCTTCCTAAGCTGTCCTCTTAAAGTTATAAACTTTGTTCCTAAGAAATGTCTTCCACTTTCTGACTAATCATTTGTATCGTTCTGTCCAGTCTTTTTCACATCTCAAGATCCAACCTTTAAATGCATGCTTACCATAGCCCATTTTCCTTTAAGTTCATTTAAGCTGTTATCACATATCCTTTGCTTGCTCTCAAAATTTCTTCTACCCTTTCTTCACGCTCAATTACTAACTTCACTGTACCCCTTCAATAACGAGTTCGGAAGTAACCAAAAGAGATTCCCACCATCAACTCTTTGCTTTAAGAAAATAAAGAAGCAGTCTTTCCTCTTTGAATAATCTCTTTCCTACAAACACACACACAGAAACACACAGGCTTCACACTCTCATAAGGGAAAGAAGCAGTTTCAGTACATTTTAAAGTTATAGAAACATTCCTAAGAGCTGTCAAGTGCTTTCAAGCACTCTGGGTCTTCAGCCACTTGGTTGGGCTTAGAGAAGAAATTTCAACTTGACTCTGAGCTATAGCATTACTAAGGGCAGTGTGGGGAATTAACACAGCAACCTTGGGCAAGTCCAACACAGAAATTTACCTTGCAGGGGGAAAAGTTCACATTTAATTTTTTACAAAAGACCAGTTTGATTTAGAACATATAAACATGAGAGTGTAAAACTACTGCAACTCTAAAGTGTGGATCCTGGAACACACAAAACCCAACTATTTTTAAAAAGCAATGTGAGTTTTAGAACAGGATAGACAGTTGGCATCTGGGGTTAGATAAAAGCAAACTTTAATTCAGACCAATTTCTAAAACCCTTTTAAGCATCAGTAAAAAAATAAGATGAAACTATTAAGCCTGTTGCCAAGAAATGACTATTTTAACAATAACAACAATAAAAACACTCAGTTCTTAGCATAACAATGTTGTCTTTTTATGTTCTGTGTCTTGACATGTAATTCTCTGTGGTAAAAATTTTAATCTTGTTGATTGTACATGATTTTTTTTACAAAAATATAAAGGTTTATAACCAACAACTTCTTTAAATTTGACCAAAATGCAAACATAGAGATAAAAGCCACACTTATCTCAGCAAAACAACCTTCAAATGTCCAAAGATGAATACAGGGATCCAAAGACATATTTTGCTGAAATTATACTCTTTACCACTGAAACACTATTCAATCTTCTGTCCTTAGACTTGGAAACATATATAATGAAGACATATGGGTATTATTTTTGCTTTCATAAGTAAATAATAAATTATTCATAGCTCACACTGGATCTTTTTTCTTTCCTCTTTGGCAATCATTTGGGAGGTAAAAATGCTTTAACGCCTTAACTTCATGTATCTGAGTTCCTGTTTTCCCAAGAACTTTTAATTTGTGTAAAAACAAAACAATACCTTCCCATGCACATTCCAAAAAACAGATTAAAAATAAGAGGGAGAAATGGTCTGTGTGATTTCAAATTTCTCTACTTTTCTGAATGATCGCTGCAGGGCTTACAGATAAAGAACCACATTTCATTCTTTTAAATGTTTACTAAAAAGAATATCACCAGGCAAAGGAATCAGAGCAATGGACTAAACAGGTAAACGTTTCTTCTCAGCTTTTGACACAGCACATTACAGGGCATTAGTTTCACCTCCAACACGGTTCTCCTGCTGTTGCAATGTCCCCGTGCGAGATGCGGCCAGGTGGGTGAAGAAGAACTGGTGTCCTGTACATAGAAAGGTGCTTGGGCCGATGTGTTGGTTTCTACTCCCAGGGCATCTGAAAGACACAGAAGAACAGGTAACGGAAAATTTCTGCAAGCTATGATCTGGCGGGGTAGCACCCGCGCTTCTCGGGAGATGAGCCCCGTGTGGGTGCTGTGCTTGGCTGCAGGACAAGGTGAGGACCCAGGACCTGCGGCACCCGGTGACGGCCACCCGTGGGCACCGACGGACAGGCGGGAACTGAGGCAAAGCACGGTGCTGAACGAGTCTGAAGTTGGTGCCAGCGGCGACTGCATTGCAGGGGCTGTGAAAATGTCCTCTGCTGTCCTCCTGCCCCCCTCTGTTTCCTCCCCGCCGTGCCCCCAACCCAAGCTCCCACTGTGCTGACACCGTGGCCTTCTGCGAGGCAGAACAGCCGGTCACACGGGCTCCAGGGGGCAGGCGGAGCCCTAGGGCGGGTCAAAGCCTCAGAGCCACACCCCTCCCCTTCCAGCTGCACAGCCGGGCAATGCGGGGAGGAAATTCATCCTTTGAGCAGTTTTTTAAATTTAAGCCTGGCCCTCAAAACATGAAATTCACACTCTTAATATTCTATTGGCATACCTCTTTGGCTTAAAGTGAAACAAAAAGTATATCATTTTATTTTCATTTGTCTGTGATCCTTTGCAGCTTCGGAAGGTTGCCCCTCACAACACACAGCTGATGCTTTGTTTTCACGTTTTGTTTGTTTAATTGTCCCGGAGTCATCTGTGTCTAAGTTCACTGTCCCAAGGATAATGGCTCAGTAGACTCCTGCTGCTCAGGACTTTGTTCCTGGAAAAGTGCTTCAGAGGATAATTGTCCGAGAGGCTTTGGTGTTCCGGGATTTTGTTCTTGAGATGTATTTTCAGAGGACAATGATGCAGGAGATTGTGTTGTTGTTCTGGGTCTTTGCTCTTGAGATGGATTTTCAGAGGACAGTGGTTCAGGAGATTGTGGTGTTCTGGGTCTTTGTTCCTGAGATGTATTTTCAGAGGACAATGGTTCAGGAGATTGTGGTGTTCTGGGTCTTTGTTCCTGAGATATATTTTCAGAGGACAATGGTTCAGGAGATTGTGGTGTCTCAGATATTTGTTCGTCTTCCCTTGACTGTTCTTGTGTTGGCTTCTCCACTGGTGCTTGTCTTTGGGCTTCTATTTCTACTGGAGTTTCTTGTTGCACAGGTGTATTTTTTTCCTCTAGAATGTCATATTGTTCTTTTTCTTGTTTTCAGTAAACAAAATAAAGCAAAGTCACCATTAAACATAATAACCTGCTAACCAAATGAAATACATGACAAAAAGACAAACGTCATGACTATATCAGTGACTGAGTAGTACCTGATTCTCTAGAAACTTTTACACAGTGTATTACAATATTCTTTTGAATGTTACCCCTTCTACTCTCATGTAGAAACATGGAACCCAGAAAAAAGCATAAAATAGGATGAGCATGGTATCAGAGAAACAGGACTAAAAGATAGGTTACTTGATTCTAATCCAGTAATTGTTTAAAAATTGAAAAGCCACGGGAAAAGACTTGCTTTTTCTCTGAGCCCCTGAGATAGGGAAGGCACTTTGTTTTGTTTTTGTTTTTGGAGGCAGGGATTGAACTCAGGACCTTGGGCTTCCCAGGCAGGTATGACAGTGCTGAGCTAACTCCCTGTCCCTGGAAGGCACTTTTATTAAGATTAAAAAGGAAGAAATCAGAAGACAGGAGAATCCAGAACCAGCATTTTCCAGAACAGACACCAAAACACTGAAGGCAACCTTCAGGGCTCAGGAAGAATATGTGTGCCTCACAGATCCACCTGCTCTTTTTCACTATTATTAAAGGCAGGAGGACAAAGTTATTGTGTCTTTCTATATAAATCAGTGGCCTAGGGTTCAGATTTAAAGAAAGGTAACTGATAGAACTTTTTTTAGCTCTGAGTAGTGATCCCTTGTTAAATTCATGAATACTTTTGGTAGCAGATCAGTCCTGTTTCTTTATGAGGCAGGTGCAGTGCCACTGCACTAAATCCCCAGCCCAGATCAGTCCTATTTCTGATGTTCAACCCATCCAGAAGTGAAAGGCCATGAGTTGAGTCCATGGGTCTCACAGTAACCACAGCATGGGGAGAAGCACGAAAGCAGAGAAGAAACATGATGCAATTCACTAGGATGTTACACCTCATTTAAACTGGTTCAGGGCCCTTCAAGTTCAGTGCCTCAGTTTCTCACTACTAATGACCTAGAGAACTGTCATTAGCACCCAGCAAGGAAGTGTCAGCTGTAAAATTCTTGAAGGTAATCAAGGCAATGGAGAACATTTCCAGCAAGAAGCAAAAGTGAACTGCACATAGAAAAAAAGTCAGAGTTTTTGAGACTGCTTTTGTGGTTTGGATGAGCTGGTCCTTTAAATGGTACTGAGTAGAACTGCTAGATGGGGCCAGGGTTCACCGTGTAAGTCACAGCTTTATTCCAAGCATTGGTAATTTATGAGCTCTAATCTACTTTATCCAGTCTGAGAACATTATAATTAATTACCACCTGGAAGAGATAAATTCAGGAATGAGTTGAAAGAAACTATTTGTGTTCATACCAGATCAGTGAGACAAGATTCAAAAGCCCAAGCTGTGGGGATGCATGCCTGTAATCCTCACACTTGGGAGGCTGAGGCAGGAGAATCAGGAGTTCACGGCCAGCCTAAACTGAAAACCAAAACAAACACTGAGAAGCTAGTGTACAGAATTAGCTGTTCAGAATTCAGAAGGGGACATTTGTTTTAACTTTCTGATGTATTAGCAAGAATGGACGTTACTGCGATGTTTGGGAAGAAGGGAGAAGTTTTTCCCTTATGCACTTGTATATGAAGATGGTTTATATGACACAATACAAAACTTTTAAACAAAAGAAAAGAATATTCGTGCTTGCCTTCCCCATGTCAAACCACAGTACTAATGCCAAGACCACCCGTACTCGGGTGAGGCCCACTGGGCAGAACATCCGAAGACCCCTCCTTGATACCCATTTCCTTTCAGGTTCCTACGTCTGACTTCATGGTTGTCTCCAGATAGCTGTCACCTCCTGTGTGGCCTCTCGGTCTGGGTCCCAGCTTCACTGACCGGGGAAGAGAATCCAGTGAGAGTCCTTCATGCTCTCTGACCTTCCCCAGACCCCTGGCCATCCAGCAACAAGTTAAACCGTGTGTTTGATCTCACAGACCCCTGCTTGCCACTGACTAGTGACAGTGACCAAACTCCTCAGAGAGACAAGAGCATGGTTTGGCAGAGCTGCTGATGCTGGGGCTTGGCCCGAAGCTGGGGTGTGAGGGGCAGCATCACAACACCAAGGTCCCAGGTGGAACAGAGGGCGACAGCTAAGAAAGCCCCAGCCCACTGCACTTTCTGAGCTCTCAGAGACCGGTGTGGACAGAGGCCCTGAGACACGGGCTTGACGCTCTGTACGCCACCCTGCCTCTCTAGCAGACACCAGGACCTTGGGAGCTGACTGCTCCCTGTTTCCTTCCTGTCTGTGTGCTCTTACACACACACACACAAACACACACACACACACACACACACACACACACACACACTCTAGCCTTCAAAGGCAAACTCTGTCTCTGCAAAGCCACTGTCACTGTTCCACACATCCATGCACCTCGATTCCCATGCCCACTGTCCGCCTGGCCAGTTCCTGCTCACCCTGCTCAGTTCTGCTCCATAACAAAGCCCACAACCCTGCAGCCCCTTTCCTCATCCAGCCGGTCACTCTGTTGCCGTGCCTGTCCAAGCCCCCAATCCTTCCCTTTAACACACCCCACATCAGACTCCTGCTCTGCCCACATGGCCCTGCCTCCAGTGCCCATGAGGCCACAGACGAGAGCAGAGCTTAGCCACACACACACAGAGAGCAGGGTAGGTACCGCCCTGACCATGGACCCCTCTCCATGATGATCCCGGCTTCCAAGGAGTGGAAACCACAAGTGAGTCTCCTTCTCAGACCACTCTCAGACACATCACCTTCACTTCCCAGGCTTCAGTGAACCCTTTTGTGAAAAGCAAGGATAAAAATAAGGACCTTTAGGAACCACGGGACTATGGCGGTAAGGCGTTAAAGTGTATTGTGAAGAGGGAAACTGGCACATACAAGGGCTGTAGCTCTGCCCCATAAAAACTTCAGTGGCAAGGGCCAGGGATTTAGCTCAGTGGTTCCACCGTCTGGCTTGCAAGTGCAAGGGCCTGAGTTCTATCCCTGGTACCAAAAAAAACCAACAAAACAAAAACAAAAACTTCAGTGACAGTGAAAAAGGGTGTCTATAGAAGAAAAAATAAACGTGGTCGCATGTAACACAAGACTACCGGCCAAGCAGTCCAGGATTACCCAGACCAAGCACTCTGGGGGCCAAAACTGTCCCTCAGGACAAAGTGACACTAGGAGAAGGTGCCAGCTGCTCCTGTCTGCCCGCTGCCTCAGCATCCTCTGCACCCCGCATCCCCAGCTTACCCCTCCTGTACCCCCTGCTCCCCACAGGCAGGCATCTGTCTCCCCTTGAGCACGGGAGCACAGGGGCTGGGTCTCCCTCATCTTCATTTCTCAGGTACCCAAAAGGCACACGTGGGAAACTCAGAGAATGTCTGATACATGAGAGAATCGGGGACTGAAGACAGAAGGGACCGGCACTGCCCTAGTACTATGTATGCACAGCGTTCCTAGAACCTCGCGAAACAGAATGGGCAAAACTCGTAGTAGAATTAAGGTGTTAAAATGTGTTTCTATGAACAATATACTAATATAACACATAATGCAAATTGTATAAAATAGCAACATAATATTTGGGCTATATTACTACATGTTAAAATGCAGTTTCAAGGCCAGGGATTTAGCTCAGTGGTTCTGCTGCCTGCCTCGCAAGTGCAAGGTCCTGAGTTTGATCCCCAGCACCAAAAAAATAAAAATAAAATGCAGCTTCAAAATTCCCAAGTTCACCTAGCCTTTTAAATCTGCTCACCAATGAGCCATTGCTATTGAGTTCCTTGAATTCTGTGTACTTTTTGTGTGTTTGGTTGGTTTTTTGTTCGTTTCTTTGAGACAAGGTCTCCTTCTGTAGGTCAGGCTGGCCCTGAACTCACTATGCAGCCCAGGCAGGCCTTGAAGTTACAGTGATCCTCCTGCCTCAGCCTCCTGAGTGCTGGGATTATAGGCGTGCACCACCACACCCAGTTTGTGCTTTTTTTTTTCCTTCTAGAACTCAACACATAGCCCAACTGTCTTCCAACCTACTTGCAGGGCACCCAGCAATGCCTGTGCTCTTCCAAAGCCTCCTGTCTGAAATCTCCTGAAATTGCTAGTTTCAGGAACTTTCTTGTTCCCATCTTTATAAAACATTATAAGGGTAAGTGGAGTGAAATGTTAAAGTTGAACAATAAAAGATCTGCCTAAAAGCAACTACTAATTTGACAGGTTATTCACCACTGAGTAAGTGGAAATATTCATCTGTCAGCTGCCCTAAAAACTGCCATGGAAAAGGTGTAACAGGCTCCACATAGTCCATTCAAAACCAAAAAACCCTCGTGGGAGGCCACCAGGGACACAGATGCCCAGATCAGGCCAGGAATAAAGTGGACACATTGTGACATTCCCCGTAGGCATTCACAGGTGTGGAGAGAGTAGATGTGGAGAAGCCTCCAGAGCCTAAGCCATCACAGACCCGCAGACAGAATGCACGACACATGCTCCTACCAGCAAGCAGAACCACTTTTTTATTCTTGTTGAGGTTCTGGAGAGATGCTAAAAAGAGAAAAATCCAAACATGAGTTAACTGGCCAAAGGGTTCCTAAGTGGTGAGATTTTAATGTAAATTCTACAGCTAAAAGAATCGCTGGGATGGGACCATTCTAGTTCAGAAAGAAGTCAGGGCCAATTGTTGGCCCTGTTAAAAATATAATCATGGTTTTATGATGCACAAATCCACGCCAACAATACTGTGCTTCCTGAGACTACAGGGCAACTGGGGACGTTGATCGTCCTACTTTTCTGCCGCACAGAGAAAAGCAGATTTTACTTGAATTCGTTATTTCTGTATTTATCTTAGCTTCACAGAAGAGGCTGGTGTGGCATTTCCTCCACTGCCCTGGATTCAGCAGGGCACAGGGTCCCTCTGACTGGTTGCCGGATGGAGTCCACAATTAGAAAATGTCAACTTGCCATGGTTTAAACAGCAGCTGCTTCAGGAAACC